AAATAAATAAAATCTTAAAAAAAAAAAAGTTCAGTGATAAAATATACACCTCAATTTTCTTTTAGTTTTGCTTTTTCAGCATTTAGTTATTTTGGGCACAGTGTGAGGAGAGGAAGTAAAGGATCTTTTTTCTAAAGAGCCAATTTTCAAATACCACTTGCTGAGAAAATCATCTTGTGCCCACCAACGGTGAAGCTTCCTTTATCATAACCTAAGCTGATACATATATACGTATATATTGCTCTGCTTCTGGGCTCTCTTGTTTCATTGATCTTTGTGTTGATTCTTAGACATCTACCAATGTCTTAACAACTGCAAATTCATAATATACTCTAATATCTAATTTTTAAATTTGGGGGCTATTTTACCTGCTAAATATTTTGGATGGGTTTTTGGAATCCTTTTGGTAAATTTCAAAGGTCCTATTGGGATTTTTCTTAGACTTCTGTTAAGCCTCCATGAATCTGGGCAGACTTGGCATTGTGTTAGTATTCAGCCTTCCCATCCAAAAACATAGTTTGTCTCTCCTGTTTTTTTTTTTTTCAAGTCATCTTTTTATATCTCTCAATAAATGATTATAGGTTTTTAAAATTATTATTACAGGTCACATATCTTTAAGTCTGTTGCTCAGTATTTGATATTTTTCATTAGGATTGCAAATGGGATCTCCTTTGTATTATATCTGGTTGGAGTGCACATCCCATTACTAAATTATTCTCTCCATTCTAAGTTGAGTTGTTTTTTTTTTAGGTTTTCTAGGCAAATAACAAACACCCTGAGATACCAGGTTAGAGTCCATGGGCTTGGTAATGCCTCCAGTCTGCAAGGTTGGTGCAATTCTCTCCAACAGTAGTCAGAGTCCAGCTGTAAGGGTGGAAAAGGTGGCTGAATGGGTCAAGCCCAAGTTCAGGGGTTCCTGAGGCTGGGGCAATAGAAGGGCAAGGGGCAGGGGGCTGAAGGAGCTCACAGGAAAGCTCCCTAGAGTGACCGACTTCAGGGACTAGACCAGAAAGGGCTTGGGTACTGGACACAAAGGTAGGGCTGGGGACTGGAGGAAGGGAGAGTCCGGAGAGGACGTTGTGGCCCTGGAATGGATGCTGGGATGTCAGGTTTGAGAGCTGACGCCTTTCCCATACAGGACTGGGCTCCCTGAGATCTCCACTTTGCAGTTAAAGATACTAAAGCTCTGGGGCGCCTGGGTGGCTCAGTCG